CCTGACCACCATCGTCCCAACCCAGATTTACCTCCAAAGTCTCTCCCTCAAAGCCCCACCCCTTGGTCCTCCTCCACACCATGACACCCCCCCCCCCACAGAACCAGCTGTTGTGTCTTGCAGATCAACTTGAGATTGGAGGTAGTAAAAGCAGAGAAGCGGAGGATATGGAGGGGGTAGCAGCTGGATCGAAACCTTCAGGTGGCTTGGAATGAAATTTATATCAAATCTGCCTCCCTAAGTTCTGGACAAGACATTTTAAAAAATACAGCAAGCGTTCTGTAGCAGGACCACGGTTTAGAGACTCACACACTCCCATGACATTACTTTTGACGTCTGTTTCAGAGGTGCATGGAATCTCGGTGATGCTGAGGTCACAGCGTTGTCTCAATGGCAGCCATTGGAACTGGGCAGTCCTTTTCCATAGAGCCAAGAGCCAGCCTTCCCTGGAGGAGATCAGGGTTATCTGCACCTCTCAAATTCAGCCTGCTAAGGAGAACACAGCCATGGCTTATGCCCCTTCACAGTGCTCTCTGGCCCCCTGACTGCAAGAGAGTATTGTGGAAAATAACTTGATTGGGTATTCCAGCCAGAGATCTACTGCTCAGCCCCTGAATTTCTGTAATCCTTACCCTTGGCTGTGCTTTTTAAAAAATAATTTTTAAAAACGTTTTTTTCTTATGTTGAAGAGCTATTTCTCAACTACTTTTTAAGTCTCCAGAGAGACCATGTGACCTAGCAAGTAGGAAACACACCCCATGGCTTCCCACACCATCCTGGTGGGAAAATCCTCCACCTGGGAGGATCCTGTCTCTGCTGGCCTCTGGCATTCCCCGAGTCTCACCCCTCAGCATCCTAAATGTGGCCTAGAGCTGGCAATCCCATGGAAAGAAGTGCACAGTGAGTACCTTCCAGAAATAAGGACTTCATCCACGGGGGTGTTACTTCTCATTTGACCCTGAACTTAATTCAAAAGGCAGCTCTCCAGAGACCTCTCATGAGCTGCACTGCACCACTCCTTTCCTCACGGCCAGTTCTGCCAAACCAAGGCAATCTGCATAAGCATATTGAAGGAAAGAAATTGGCTTTCCTTTCTATTTGCCTTGAGGCTGTTATCTGGAACCACTAACCAGAACTCTCTCTGAAAATGCCCAACCTCTGCCTCAGATATGGAATAATAACTTCATTTCATTTATATCACTCTGTGAACAAATTAAGTTAATTGCCCCAATATCATGAAATCATTGAAAATTACCAGATCATTAGAAAACAAGGATGAAAGAATTGGCTGCTCAGAAATTTCTCCATGCCTACCATTAGTGGAGACAGTGTCATATTAAAAATCAGCCAGAATATTCAGGTATGTAAGCAGTGCTGTTGGCTCCGGTAAAAGCAGAATGCAGTTTCCAGGCTGGTGGGGGTAGGGGGGCGTCTTCAGGGAATCCTACGGCCCCTTTCTTCTCCTGGAAAGACCACGGATGGAGAAACTACAAAATAACTCAAGGGCACCGGGAGCAAATCTGGGAAGGAGTCAGAGATTAATGGCCCAAGTATTCATGGCTACCAACAAATTCTGAATTTACATCCAAAGGTAGAACTGATGCTTTGTAGTTTCTCAGGTGGCCATACTAGGTATTTAAAGACAGAAATGTGTCTCTGAGCTAAAAGTGCTGATCCTGGGATACCACAGATGTCCAACTCCAGCAAGTCCAATCTCTCCTTCCATCCCAGCAGGGGATTCACTTGCCAAGGGGAGAGGGTACCAAATACTCCAACAATCACATGGGGTCATGTAGGAAACATCCAGGGCATCAGTAGACCTGGGTGCTTTGAGGGCAGGGGCTGTGTCTTATGCTGCTTCCTATTGTTACCATGTAGCAATCACTCAGGGATTGCTCTCCAATTTCATTGTCAACGGTTATTCATTTTTGAGACCACGGACCTTGTAAACTTAGCTCCTCATGTGAAAACAGGTTTGTGTGGTGGTAGAGGTAACACGACCTAGCTAGTCAAAGATGCCCTGTGAACAGTAAGGCTTAAGGCTCAATAAAAGGTTAATCTTTGAGTCTCTAGCTTCTTCCAAAGTTGGTCTCTTTGGAGAGTTGTCATTACGTGGGCAGGAGAATGCCACATAGAGATCCCTGAGAGTCCTCATTCTTCCTCTTTCTCCTGTCCTCATAGCTGCTCCTGATGTTTTCTTGTCTGCTATTATAGAGACGTGCCATTGTTACATCAACACATGTTGCTAAAATACTCTAGAGATTATTAGAACAGACCTAAAGTCAAGTCTTAAAGTGAAATATGACAAATAGACAAGGTCTTAAATGGCAGCTATAAAATGCAACAAGAGAAAAGACAGTTAAGACAAATGTTTAAAAGTCCCAAACAAAGGATTCTAAATGTTTTTTATTCATATATGTATGTATATATATATATGTGTGTGTGTGTGTGTGTGTGTGTATATATATATATATATATATATATATATATATATATATATATATAGATATATTTGAGACGGAGTCTTGCTCTGCTGCACAGGCTGGAGTGCAATGGCATGCTCTTGGCTCACCACAGCAAGCAATTCTCCTGCCTCAGCCTCCCAAGTAGCTGGGATTTCAGGTGTGCATCACCATGCCAGGCTAATTTTTGTATTTTTAAGTAGAGAAGAGCTTTCTCCATGGTGGTCAGGCTGGTCTCGAACCCCCGACCTTGTGATCTGCCCACCTCAGCCTCCCAAAGTTCTGGAATTACAGGCATGAGCCAGGTTTCCTGGTTCTGAATGTTTAAGAAGTAAAGCAAAACAGGGTTTTACTTTGTTTTTTGAGGCCTAGAGGTTGGTTTACTGAGGCCAGGTAAGACAAGTACCCAGGTGTGTTGTCAGAATTGTCTCCATTTTGGTCCTGTTCAGGCTGGGATTGACCCAGAAGACCTTCAAGCATTTTCCCAGAGTTCTGAGAAGTGATGGGCAGCTGTGGTGGTTTGCAGGATGGATCCAAGAGGGCAGCAATGGCTCAAGCCTCCAGGGAACTCTGCCCAACACTCTGGAGTTAATGTGGTGTAGGTTTTCTCCCTCTGGGCCTTCCTCCCTGCCCCACTGAAGCCTGAGAAACACAGAACTCCTTGTTCATGAGCAAGGGAGCCCAAGCACTGGGCCAAGATGCCAGTGGATAGCTAGACTTGACCATCATGGGCAACTATCACACACCAGCGGAAAAGAGGTTTAGGCGCTTTGCCAAGACATTTCTTCTGTATATGCCTCGTGTGTGTGTGTGTGTGTGCATGTGTGTGAGACTGTGTGAGAGTGTGCGTGTGTGGGAGAGTATGTGTGTGTGAGAGAGTGTGTGTGCGTGTGTGTGTCTCTGCCTATGTTTGTCTCTATGTTCAGTCTCAGCCTGCTAGCCAAATTCTAGGGACCCACACCCTGCAAGCACCCTGGCAGGTGGAATCTTCATGAAGCAGAAGCTGAGATCTAGAGATCCAGATCTAGAGTGTTCTCTAAATGCCTAGAGAAGCATCCCTTTCCTTCTCTTCCCTCACCTCACCCTATATCTCTACCATCCCCCAAAAGGACATCCTACCAACTAGCTATGAAAAAACAAAGAATTTGCTGAGAAATTTGTTACCAAAGAAATATTTTCAGGCTGCAAGCAAATGTCTAGTTGTGCACATTTCCATCCTCCAAAATTCCATTACACATTTTCCTTGTTTGTACCTTAAAAACAGAAATACAAGAGCAACCATCTGAAAGTGGAGGGTAAAAGCCAAGTCCTGACTTTCTAGGAAGAGTTGGCAGTTCAGATGGTCAAGATCAGTCGGGGCTTGAACCCTCTGTGCTGGAGCCAGAGTAAGGGCACCTTGCCAGATCCACGCTCCAGGAACTGGGGGAGAGGGCTGGCCCTGGAATACTCACCAGAGGCAGCTCCCTCAGCTTCTACCCCCAAATGAGTTCAGCAGTCACACCCATGAGAACAGCTTCTTGGGGTGTTAGTATCCTAAATTGTGTACAGGGCCTTCAAGTTTAGAAAACAATTAAATAGTCATTATTTCATGCCAATGGCCAGGCTCACCACATCTATAGACCAACAGCTAAGCAAAACCATCTCCTGCCTGGGCCTGAGCTTTGAGAATGAGCCCCACTAGGGAGTCGGTGGAGGCCACCTCTGGAGGGCCTCCTCAGTGTTAGATTGAAGTCAGTTTCCCTAACCCTGAGAGGTCACTACCTTTGGGCTGCTTTGCTTAGATGCTTAAATATGTATGGGCAGGGGTAGGCCCTGGCGTCAGCAAGGCCTCTGTCCTTCAGCTGGCCCTGCCTGGGGTAAGCTAAAGTGCATAAAGCCCAAGTCCTCAAGGGTTAACAGTGGCTGATTAAGACATGAAAACAGGCTTGGCACAGTGGCTTACACCAGTAATCTCAGCACTTTGGGAGGCCAAGGCAGAAGGATTGCTTGGGGCAGGCCAGGGGTTTGAGACCAGCCTGGGCACTATAGTGAGACTCTATCTCTACAAAAATGTTTTTAATTAGCTGAGCATGGTGGCACGTGCCTGTAGCCCTAACTACTAGGGAGACTGATTTGGGAGGATCATTTGAGCCCTGGAGTTCAAGGCTGCAGTGAGCTGTGATTATGCCATGGCACTCCAGCCTGGGCAACAGAGCCAAGACTCTGTCTCTAAAACAAAACAAAACAGTACAAACCTCCATCCACAAAGTACCGAAGACCTCATCTGCTTATCTAATAATATTATGGATGTGAGTTATTTAAAGGTCATAGGTAGAAGAATGCCTGTGGGTCCTGATTTAACATGAGACCCAGCAACACAGACCCCACACTCACGGGGATGCCCAGGACCTGCCAGGCCTACACTTTCGTGTTTCTTTCACTTGTTTCCTTTTGCCCTCTTCTGCCACTGTGTTGCTCCTGTGTTAGCCAAGATCTAGAATACCGGGCATCTTCATGGGAGACTCATTACAGCTTATCTCTATCTGCCTTTCTTTAAAGCCAGCTGAACATACCCAATGCTCTCCCTCTATGGTAAGACCGACCCTGCCGACCACGCTCCCGGCTTCTGTGTCCCCCTCTAACACCCCACTCTCCCCACCCCGACCTCCAGAGTCCCTGGGAGCCCTGCCTGGCTCTCACTGCATGTGGCCACCATGTCTGCCGTGTGCCTTGCCTGCCTGTTCCCTTCTCATGTGAGCTGTGAAGGTGCCTTTTGTGCAGTGTTACTGTGTTACCCCTGAGCTTTCCTTGGGGTGGTAATTCACTGTGATCTTGACTATCTAACAAGCCACTGGGAGAGAATGGGACCCGAGGGCCATTTCCTGTTAAACACCCTGAGGACTCCACTGGCCAAAGCCTCTGACCTTAATCTGATGTGAGAAATTTGCAGAGGGTACCTATGAGAGCCATGGTAGGGGCTGCAGGGTAAGGAGGGAAGAAAGAGGTGCTCTAGCCAACAGATGGAAGGGCGGATGATGATTACTATTAATCAGTGTCTGTGGCTCCTAGTCTCCCTGTGCTTCAAGTGAAAGGCCACCTTAAGAGGTTTAAGCGGAGATACTTGTTACTAAGAGCGTGGTTGAATTTCCAGCCGCTCCAACCTTGCTACCCCTTCCATTTTTCTAAATTTCTGAAGTCCGTTAAAATTAGGCTACAGCCACTATTCTGCAGCGGGCTGGAAGCGGAAAAGCGAGCTCTGTTGATGGGACCACTCCTGGTGTAGGCGTCTGTGATTCACTTTGGCTAAAATGATAAGAGACGCCATTCAATGTGACCTTGAAGCCTCCTTGGCCCAGCCTTCTCCAAAAGGCTGCCATTACGCATTTCAAACAGGGCCAAGTATGCGGTTTTTTGAAGGACCACTGGGTTGACTGACTGAGCCAAAAAGTCTGCAGGCTGAGCAAGCTTGGGTGGGTTGATGTATTCCCCGGTGCAGCCTGGCTCCACCTGGCCACAAGGCCACTACAGCAAAGGCTGCACCCCGGGTGCCCTACCCCACTTGCTGGGGACCCTGCTTTCTGGATCAGCCGTCTGGATCTGCCTCCTCTTTGCACTGTCATTTGGTTTATATGGGGAAATTGGTGCGTCCTAGTGGCCGCGTGTACTTTCCCCTTGTGGAGCAGCATTAGGAAACAGCAGCCACCGGGCAGGGTCTGAACAGTGGAATGGAATTCATACTGCAAGCTGGGTGTTGGGTGTTTTTTGTTTTGTTTTGTTTTTAACTCAGCAGACCCAGATGCCCCTGTGGCACCAACTTCTCAAACTGTTGACACTTGCAGCTGAAGTTCTCCACTGAAGCTTGTTCTTTCTTTTTTTCTCCTTTCCTGAACACAGTGGAACTGACAGCTGAGTTATAAAACCCTAAGCCTCCTCTGCATACTCCTCTGGGGGAACAGAACCTCCTTTTATGGAGTGAAAATAGAATTTCAAATAGATACACAGGTGATAGAAATACAGAGATTAAGGGCATCAAAGGCTTCAGAACACACAGGCAGGGCAGAGCCTGGGACAGGACAGGGCTGCTGCCCACAGCTCTCCACCCAGCCCCTCAGGCACCCATGCAGCAGGTCCTGAGACCCGCCAGTCTGTCCCCTGCCTTGAGGGAAACAGGAGCCTTAGGAGGAACTGAGGCAGCTCTGATTCTGAAACATAAGAAGTATTTTTGCTATTCTCCTGTCTGGAAGGTCTGGAAAGCAGGAGAGGTCTCTGGCTTGCTTCTGTGCAGGGTGGTGGCTGCCTCCGGGTCTCCCTGCCTCCCTCATAATCTCCTGTCCTGCATAGTGAGGGGAGCAGCCTCTGATGCCACATTAGGGTCAGCTAGGGCAGGCAGTGCAGTTAGAAGGGCTTTTGCACTGGATATTGCCAGGGAGAGTCTGATCTAGAAATAATTAAAAATAAACAAGTGGCAAGGTAAAGCAAGGAGTGGGGAGGATCCAGGTGGCCCCAGTAACAACCTGAGACCTCCCACCTTGAGGGTGGTGTGGATGGGAACAGTAACAGGAAGCCCCCGAGGGTCCATTCTCTCCAGGTGCCTGCAGGGCTGGGTGAGCTGCACTAGCTCCGGATGCGACGGTGGCTCCCTCCTGGGTTCCTGGTCACCAGGCTGGTGTGCGCAGAAGGAGGGCCAAGTGGGGAAGTCAGCTCAGTTCTCAGGTTTGGAGGCAGAGGATGACAGGGCAGCCCATCCTGCCCCCTGAGCCCAGGCCAGGCATGTGCCCAACCCCCAGGCTCGCCAAGGTCCAACAGCAACTGCCCAAGGACCTCCACTCACCTTGGCCTGCATTCCACCCTCCCTCCCCTTCACCTTCCCTCTCCCCTTCCCCAGGGCCCCTGAGGGAGACCATTTGCAGGAGCATCAGTTGCAAGGAAGGCCTCCCCTCCCTTACCCTGACCTATGACCCTCTCCGTTCCAAGGTCTTGTACAGCCTGGAAGGCTGGAGCCTCCTAGAGGCCGCAGGGCAGAGGGGAGTAGGAGCAACAGCTTCAGAGCAAGGGCTGCAAACCAGCCCCTCTCCCAGCACAGAGTAGCACCCCTAGTCCCTCCCTTTGGGACAGGGGCTGTGGAAAGTAGAAGGAGGTGATACAAGGGAAGTGCTGGAGTCCCAAGCAGCTGGGATGTGAGGTGTCTTCAGGATGCAGCCCACAGGACCCCAAATGCACACATACCTACAACTAGGAAGAGGCTGTCACCAACCTATGTCCTCGCAGAGCACTGGGCCCCACTCAGGACACAGGACTCTCCACGCAGACAGAGGCTGCTTCCTCAGCAGTGCAGGGGCTCCCAGGGCAGCTGGCTCTGGGCCTAGAAGACTCCAAAGCATATGCAAGTTCCTGATGGAGTCGTGTGTTCCTCCATCTAGGGCATTAAGAACTAGGAATGAAGGGGAAGTGGGGAGAATAAAAAAAACAGGACCACAGCCCAGGGGCCTGAGCACAGTCTGTCTCTGCAGAGACCATGGGGCTGGGCTGTCCACCCGTTAAAGGTGGGCGGCTGCCCTCCCATCCTAGGGGGAAGTCTAGTGCAGCGAACCCTGGCCTGCCTTCTGCCACTGCCACTGAGGGCTGTATTTCTCGGAGGGGCCCTCCTCTTCTTACCCCCTCTTGCTGTGCTAACTGCACCTCCTGTTGCCGACGGGTTCCAGAACGCAGAGGAGAACTCCCGCATCTCCATCACCTTCTTCCGCCTGTTCCGGGTCATGCGCCTGGTGAAGCTGCTGAGCCGCGGGGAGGGCATCAGGACGCTGCTGTGGACCTTCATCAAGTCCTTCCAGGTAGCTACCCCTCATTTCTCAGGTCGGCCACCCGGCCCGGGACAGAGCTGGCATGGGAAGAGCCCTCCACTCCGGGGCTCTGCTGCTTCCTCTGAGTGACAGAACTCCGCAGCTCCACCTGGCTCCCATTTCACACAGAGGCTTAGACAAAGCACGTGGTTTCCAAGGTAGGCTCGGAGCCCCAGAAGGCCAGGTGGTAAAGGAGGGATGGGAGCTAAGGGGAGGCAGAAAGGGTCTGCCTTACTTTTACCCATCATTTATGTCTTTCTCGGCAAGAATTTACTGGACAAAGGGATTTTGTGATAAGGAGAGACTGGACAACCTGGTGACCGCTATGGCTCTTCAAATTCAGCTTTTTCAGAATCTGGCCGTCACCCTCCTCCCTGTGGGCATTTCAGCAGCATCTGCTCCAGCACCTGTTATGTCCTTGGCCAGACTTTCAGGACCCTGGTGTCCTCTACTTGGCAAAAGAGGCCCCACGAATGAGCCCAGGACTGCCTGGCCACATGATTAGTTCCTTTGCTCAGCCATTATTTCCTGGTTAAAACAGAATGACAATCAGCCCCGGCCAGCTCAGAGGAGCCTTCCTAGGTTTGAAGTTAAGGAGAAGCAAAGCTGTTGGGTCACTTGAATTCCCCCAGATGAGTGCAGAACCGTGAAGGCGGTTTCCTGCTTCCCTTGGCTGGTGGAAGGCAGGCTCCTCTCCCCACAATGGAGGGGCCACTCTTAGCCTTCTCAAGACCGGAGGCCATCGGGGAAGATGGCTTTTGTGTCCCCTGCCCCAGCCAGTGCCTGCCTGGGGACAGGGTGTGCCTGGGCCTGGTCCAGGTATGCCCATGGCTGTAGCTGTAGCCAGAGGAAAGGTGCCCATCCTCAGTGGGAGTCCCATTCTGGCTAGGCCCCCAGAGCCTCCTACCAGGGACTGACCATCCAAGGCTCTCCAGGGAGCTCCCGATGGCAGCCAGGCCTCCTCCGAGCTGGCAGGGCTGACCCCACCTCGTGATGAGCTGAGGCTCCTGCACCCAGTGTCACACTCAGCCAAGGCTCCAGGGATTCGGAATGGTAGACACCGGCAGAAGCAGGACTCCCACCACCCCTGTCCTTGGGTGCATGAAGGACCCACAGCTGTGAGTGGCCATACAGGGACCCAATATACTTGCCCTGACCCACAACATCTCCTGGGGCTGGGAAGAGGCACCTACTGGGTGACTTCGAGGCCTGACAGTGGCGTGTGCTCTCACGACACCCTCTAGAGACCGGCTGAAGTGGCGCCCAGAGTGCGGGCCCTACCTCCCATCCTAGGGACCGTGGCCTCTCCCCAGAAATGGCAGGGGCTCTGGAAAATTCATTGTCTCAGCTGCCAGACAGATAATACATTGAGCGAATAGAACGTGTGGAACCCAACTCTGCAAAGCATTGCACTAAGCACTTTGTAGGCCTTAAATCATTTAAACCACGAAACCTCTGAGAGGTCATTATTATTATTTCCACATTTCCCATGAGGAGTCTGAAGCTAAGAGAAGCACCCCAGCTCTCATAGATAGAAAGCAGCAGAAAGGGGATTTGAGCCTATGATCTTTCTGCTGGATTTTTCCTTATTAAATGTTTTCGTTGCAAGTGTAATATCCGCTCACTACAACTAGTGGGACAGAGTTAATTTGTGTAAAGAGAGGGTGTAACTTGCCACCGCCCCACTCACAGGTAACCACAGTCAGCTGAGTGCTGTCCTCCACCATTTCTCCTGCCTGGTACAAACATACTGCACATGTGTAGTCGGAGGAGGTTTTGCTCATTCTTGATTGTTTTGCCCAGGTAATGTCACACTATATCATTACTCCACAGCCTGCTTTGAAAACCAAGCTGAAATGAGAAGTCAGTTCTGGTTTCTCAGGCCTTCTCCCAGGTTCCCTGTAGTCCTGTGGGACTCTTGGAAAAATGCGCCCCAGCCCAAAACAGGCAACAGCTGATGGCTGCAGAGACAGGGGTGCAGCGCTCCCTGGGAAGGGGCCAGCTGGCCTCTGCACTCTGGCCTCATGGGAGTCTTCTGTGCTTCCTTCCAGGCCCTGCCCTATGTGGCCCTCCTGATCGTGATGCTGTTCTTCATCTACGCGGTGATCGGGATGCAGGTAGGGAGGCTCACATCTCCTGGCTTCTTGCTCTGTCTCTTCCCAGTCCCAGAACCACATTCCCTAATGCCTTCCTCCCTCCCTTCTCCCTCTCATTCCTGACTATCCCTCTCCCTCCTATTTCATTTTCTGAAGCCCAAAAGGCCACAGGAATTGGAACTTGCCCCAAATGGATCTCCTGTAAGTAACAGGAGAATGTCCAGGTACAGAATACATAGCCCAGAGAACTTCCCTCCCCGAAGCCTGGGTTCTGCTCTTGGTAGAGGAAAGACACTCCTGAGTTATGCAAGGGGCCTTGGGAGAGACACAGCCCCTTCGCAAGAAACAGCAGCAAGTGTGTCTGCCCTGCACCACTGTTTTTGTCCAGGTCTGATAGGCCTGAGAATTACCCCAATCAGATTCATTTGAAGCTAATGACTGAGAGGGAGGGAGGAAAGAAGGAGGAAGCAAGGAAGGGCCAAATCAAGGCAAGGCTTACTGCATCAAACGTGCAGCAGTTCTCTGAGCCCTCCCTTCCCAGGCGCCCACTGCACCTCTCACTGCAAACCTGGAGCTCTCCATTCCCAGCTCAGGGATCCAGCTTGAGGTTCCAAGGTCAAACCCGGCAGGGCACCCACACTAGCCCAGAGCATTTCCTCGGCCACTCCTTCAGAAAGTCCCCTACTTGCTCATCACAGAAAGACCCAAGATTCAGTTGCCAAAACCTTTTGAGACTAAAAGAGCTACCTTGATACATGATAAAGGGGGCAGTTTCTAAGATAAGCACAGCTTTTAAAAAAGCAGGGAAAAGAGGATTTCAGGAATGAATTAAGCTTGCCGTGGCCCCTGATCACTCACTCCATATTACTCCAAAATGCAAGAACTAAATTTGAAAGAGTGCTTGGGCATGCAGATTTGAAATGGCAAAGTAAAGAAGGCCAGTGCATCCTATGTCCTGTCAGAAGCTGGGTCCCATTCCCAGCATCCACTGCTCTCAGTCCCAGCATCCACTGCTCTCAGCCCCAGCTCCTACTGGGCTGCAGAGATCTTCCTGAGGCTGTGGGCACTTTGGTTCTTACACTTGTCCAATATGGGGATTGGGCTTAGGGGCTGAGTGGGGCACTAGGTGCCCGCAGTGTTGCATGGGAAGACGGTTCAGCCTGTGGACTGGCCAGTTCCAGGGACCCCTGAGACCCCTGAAGAGACCATTGAACAATGGTGGGAAATTAGGACCCTCTCTGTCCACAAGTCACTGAATACCTTTTCCTTCCCTCTCCCAGGTGTTTGGGAAAATTGCCCTGAATGATACCACAGAGATCAACCGGAACAACAATTTTCAGACCTTCCCCCAAGCTGTGCTGCTCCTCTTCAGGTGGGTCCCTGAGGACACAGGTACACACACACACACACACACACACACACACACACACCCCTGCATGGTGCCATGCTGTGGCCTGGTTGTAGAATGAGAGGGAACTGTCTGCTGGGGAGTAGGAAGGGAGAGGATGTATGCTTGCCATCCACTTGACAAGGAAGCCAGTGGTTCCATTGTCATTTAGATAACTTTCCATGGAGCAACACACTGGGCACTGGCACACCTGCTGGAAACCAGCCAAAGCCATTAGGGGAGCAAAAGTCACATGCTGAAAGTAGCATGGCTTGGAATCTGAACAGGCCCAAAGCCAACCTGGTGACACGCTTTGTGACCTTAACAGAGACAGCTAACTTCTCTGAACCTCGGTTTTCTTATCCAATAAGTACAGATATCTATCACTCCCAGCACCTGTGCCATTTGCCATGCTGGTTGCTTACGTCCACATGCACTGGGCTTCATCCTCATTTAATCCTCAACACAATACTAGCAAACTGAATCCAACAGTACCTGGAAAAGATGATGCATCATGATCAAGTGGGTTTCATTCCAGGGATGCAAGGATGGTTCAACATATGCACATCAATAAATGTAATACACCATATTAGCAGAATGAAGGAAAAGAGACCCATGTGATCATTTCAATAGGTGCATACAAAGCATTTGACAAAATTCAACATCCTTTCAAGATAAAAACCTCTCTAACAAATTAGGCATAGAAGGAATGTACTGCCACACAATAAAGGCCACATATGACAAGGCCACAACTAACATCATACATAATGGTGAAAAATTGAAAGCTTTTCCTTCAAGATGAGGAACAAGACAAAGATGCCCCCTCTCACCATTTCTAGTCAACATAATAATACTGGAAGTCCTAGCCAGAGCAATTAGGCAAATTTTTTTAAAAGGCATCCAAATAGGAAAGGAAGAAGTGAAATTTTCTCTGTTTGCTGATGACATGATCTTATATGTAGAAAATCCTAAAGACCACTGAAAAACTATTACAGCTGATAAACTAATTCAGTAAAGTTGCAGGATACAAAATCAACCACACAAAAATGAGTGGCATTTATTTACACTAACTATTAACTATCTGAAAGAGAAATTAAGAAATCAGCCCCTTTTACAATAGCATCAAAAAAAAATAAAAATAAAATACTTAGGAGTAAATTGAATGATCTATAAATGGAGAACTTAAAAAACCTGATAAAAGAAATAGTTGGTGACATAAATAGATGGAAAGATATCTTGTGTTCATGGATTGGAAGAATTAATATTGTTAAAATGACCGTACTACCCAAAGCAATCTACAAATGCAATTCCTATCAAAATGCCAAAGTCATTTTTTATGGAAATGGAAAAAACAATCCTATGGAACCACAAAAGACCCTGAATAGCCAAAGCAATCTTGAGCAAGAACAAAGCTGGAGGCATTACATTGCCTGATATCAAAATCTGTTACAAAGCTATAGTAACCAAACAGCATGATACTGGCATTAAAAACAGACACATAAAGCAATGGCTCAGGATAGAAACCTGAGAAATAAACCCACTCATTTATAGCCAACTGACTTTCGACAAAGGTGCCAAGAATACACTCTTTCATAGTGTTGCCAAAGAGGAATTACTTTCAAAATCATGCTAAACTTTCGTTAGCATTAGATTTCTCATTAACAAAAGTATGTATATAATAGAAGACAATGGAATAACATGTTCAAAATCATGAGGAAAGTGTATTTTTGAACCTGGCCCTCTATATGCAGTCTAAACAGCATTCAAGTAGCCAGGTAAAATAGAGACGTTTCCAAAAGTGTCAGAACCATAGAGTTTACTCCCCCACATGAGTCTTCCTTGAAGCAATTACTCAGGCTGTACTTCCACAGAATGAAAAATGAATCAAAGAACTAGAATGAGCAGAGTAATGATACGAGTAAAAAATAATGAAGCTGATAGTTGTGAGTTATGAACAAGGACATTATAAGTTTACACAAAGTCTAGATAATTGTTAAGGGGAAAATGTACAGAACCTTAATGACAATTTGGAAGTAATATTTTATGTTATGTCAGCAAGGTAGGAGGTGAGGTGGTAGAAGAATGAGAAACATGAAACCAGTTTCTTCTCTTGTTTGGGGCTAAGAAATAGATACTGTTTAATTCTGTACAAAACTAAGGGAACATATGTATAAATGCATGTGTTAAATATTTAAAAGTCAGTCACTAAAAAAATAGAAATGGAATGTATACATTCTAAACCACTAGAGGAAACAATGGACAAACATCAAGAGGAAGGTAAAGCAAAAGTAGAAAAAGAAATAAATAAAACACAGAAATTAGAATAGTAAAATGAGATGGCAGGAAGAAGAACAACAGCAGGCTGGGTGCAGTAGCTCACACCTGTAATCCCAGCACTTTGGGAGGCCGAGGTGGATGGATCATGAAGTCAGGAGATCAAGACCATCCTGGCTAACACAGTGAAACCCTGTCTCTACTGAAAATACAAAAAAAATTAGCTGGGCATGGTGGCACGCTCCTGCAGTCCCAGCTACTCAGGAGGCTGAGGCAAGAGAATCTCTTGAAACCAGGAGACGAGGTTGCAGTGAGCCAAGACTGTGCCACTGCACTCCAGCCTAGGCGACAGAGCGAGACTCTGTCTCAAAAACAAACAAACAAACAAAACCCCAAAGATAATAATTACTAAAAATTATTGAGCTAAAGTTCACTGTTAAAAGATACTCTGATGTTGACTTGAAGATATCTAGCTCTAGCCTGTTTGTAACAGATATAGTAAAACAAAATGACCTAAAGAAAATGAAAATAAAAGGATGGAAAAACAAATACCATATCAGGCTCACATTGTAGATGTAATAACAGCAGTAGCAGAAATAGAATTCCAGGTGAAAGGCATTAAACAAGACACAGAGAGATTTTATATTGATAAAAGGCATAATCCATCAAAAATATGTAACAGTCATAAAACTACCTGAGTCTAACAATATAGTTTGGAAATGTATCAATCACACACTGATAGAACTATAAGGAGAACACACACACACACACACACACACACACAATGGCAGGTTTAATACAGGAAGTAGAGCATGACAGTTCAAATAGACCAACATAGAAAAAAGGGTAAAGAACATCTAAATAATACAATTAACAGACTTGATCTTATAGATTTATACTCAATAAATGGCAAAAAAAAAAACCCACATCCTTTTTAAACACCCCAGAAACATTCACAAAAATTAGCCAAGATATAAGTCCAAAGAATTAAACAAATTCTAAAGCTGCTCTTATCTCGATATAGCAAAATTATAAATTAACCATAAAAACAATAACCCCTGCCGGGCGCAGTGGCTCACGCCTGTAATCCCAGCTCTTTGGGAGGCCGAGGCGGGTGGATCATGAGGTCAAGAGATCGAGACCATCCTGGTCAACATGGTGAAACCCCGTCTCTATTAAAAATACAAAAAATTAGCTGGGCATGGTGGCGCGTGCCTGTAATCCCAGCTACTCAGGAGGCTGAGGCAGGAGAATTGCCTGAACCCAGGAGGCGGAGGTTGCGGTGAGCCGAGATCGCGCCATTGCCCTCCAACCTGGGTAACAAGAGCGAAACTCTGACTTGAGAAAAAAAGAACCCCTTCAAAATCTACTTAAAATGTTTGTCACTCTTCTTCGTAACTCAAAGCTGAAACTATAGCCTACAGTCATGCACCACAAAATGACATTTTGGCCAATGGCAGACTGCCTAAAATTACAATGGAGCTGGAAAATTCCTGTCACCCAGTGATGATGCTGTAGCACTGTAATGTAGCGCAAGGCTTTACTCATGTGCTCGTGGTGCTGTCAGTCATATAAAAGTGTAGCACAGACAATATGTACCGTGCATGACATTTGATAATGGGAATAAATGGCTGTCACCTGTTTATGTGCTTACTGCACTATACTTTTATCATTATTTTGCAACGTACTGCTTCTACTTATTTTTTTAAGTTAACTGTGAAGCAGCCTTAGGCAGATCCTGCAGGAGGTATCCAGAAGGCATTGTTATCATAGGAGATGACAGCTCCATGCGTGTTACCGCCCCTGAAGACCTTCCAGTGGGCAAGACGTGGAGGTGGAAGACAGTGGTATTGATGCTCCTGACCCTGTGTAGGCCTAGACTAATGTGTGGGTTTGTGTATTAGCTTTTAACAAAAAACGTAAAGTGTTTAATTTAAAAAAAAAACCATAAAATAAGGATATAAAGAAAAGTATTTTTGTATAGCTGTACAATGTGTGTTTTAAGTTGTGTTTTTATAAAAGAGTCAAAAGTTTAAAAAGTTTATAAAGTAAAACTGTTACATTAAGCTGAAGTTGATTACTGAAGAAAGAAAAATGCTTTTTATAAATGTGTGTAGCCTAAGTGTATGGTGTTTCTCATCTCCAGTGGTGTACCATAGTGTGCAGTCATGTCCTAGGCCTTCACATTCACTCACCACTCACTCGCTGCCCACCCAGAACAGCCTTCCCTCCTGCAAGCTCCATTCATGGTATGCACCTCTACAGTGCGCTAGCTTTACATCTTCTTTACTGGTCCATTTTTACTGTTCCTTTTCTGTTTAGCTATGTTTAGATACATAAATACTAACCGTTGTGTTCCAGTCGCGTGCTGTATCGGTTTGTAGCGCAGGGAGCCGAGGTGTGTCGTAGCTATCCCATCTAGGTTTGTGTGAGTCCACTGTATGCTGTTTGCACAACAGAATTGCCTAACCATGCATCTCCACATTGTTAAGTGACGCAGGACTGTACTTAGAAATGAGACCCAGAGCACCATATCTTAAGTGTAGGAGACGCATCAATCAACACCAAAGAAAAGTTTACAGCCTAAGATTTATTTATTTTAAAAGATTTATATTAAATAAGCTACTAAATGGGGAAGTGAATAGTAAAATAACCCCAGAATACGAAGGAATGCATTTTTTAAAATAAAAGCAGTTCAGGCACAGTGGCTC